CATACAAAATAAGCTGGGGACGGCTGTCTTTATAGACAGTATTTCGGACATACTCTACCTGCACCTTTACTTCTATAACTTCTCCAGGGAATCATTGCTCTCTGGATAAAATTTCTTCGGGCGTTAACTTATGTTTATATAAATCGCTGGCGAGTAAGGTTTTCGTTCCATATAGTTTTCTGAACTTTTTTTTACATAGTTTGGACGTTTCCATTCACACCAAAGAGGAAACTGAGTAAACTTTATACAGCCCATTTTTTATTAATGTTTTGATTCTCAAAAAGGAATTTATTGTTTCACTATCTGTCGGCTCTTCGGGCGCCTTTTAGGCTTTTTTATAAATCGATCGAAATCTCGCCAATGGAATACCGTAGAACTTTCGAGTTTGCGGCATTATATTCGTACTATCGTGGTATCCTGCATCGCATAGTCTGAAAGCTGAAAGCTATTCCGGAAGTTGATATAATTTGTGAATATGAAATGTGTTAAAATAAAGAAATAGAATATCATAGTGCGTGTATGAGTGTCAGTTTTTTCGTAAAATAGTTGTCCACTTTTAATTCACGAGTATGTACGTAATTGTTTACTCTTCCAACAGGTTATGGGCTGCACGGTCAACTAATTACTATAAACAAATATTGCAGTAATTTTCTACATAATTCGTTGTTGAATCTTAAAGTGTCATCGTCTTCTTACCGTTTGAAACTCAGGGCCGAGAGAACTTTTCCGATTGGAAATTAGCTGTACAGGCATATTTGGAGCACAAGGATCTATTTAAACACATTGTAGGTAAATGAAACACCTGTCGAGGTAGCTTTATGGAAAAATTGTGGAAATATAATGGTTCGATGCAGGGAATTGCTCTTGATTCGATTCGCTTGATGAATAGTGAATGAACCGAAGCATATGTACGGAAAATTATTAGTAGTTATCATTAGATATTTCTGTTCCCGAAAAAATAGCAACTTCTGGTGAATCCTGGAACGAAATCTTTCCGCGGCCACCTACGTGGTTGCTCTTTGGTAATTTTTTACAGAATCTTTTGAAGAAATAACTTTACTTTGGGGTGCACGGTTGACCCTCCGTAGCCCAAACCCAAATGAATTCAAAAATCTCTCCGGGATAATCCCTAGCTATTCTAGTAATTAAGTAAGCCATTTTCCTTAATCGCTTTGTCCCCCCCGAGATGTACAAATTAGACTGTTCTTCAAGAAACTCACTCAATGAAATTCTGCTGAATTATACACTTACAAACGTAGGCGATGCTCTCATAACTCCAACAAAGTCATTAAAAGCTCAACACGATACATAAATTAAATACCTAGAATTTTGATCATGAAACTTTAATTGCAAACCCCGAACTTCCCTACAAATCTTCATTTACCAAAATTTTGAAATTACCAAGCCTATATTTCGACCACCTTGTACACTCCCTGCTAATAACCACGCGCATCTCTAAAAATGTCCAAAATTTCTTAAAAGTTAAAAGCTACCGTTTCTTCATTTGCGCTAGTTCCGAATACGTTGCCCAGCACCTACTGTAATTCTCTCTATGAATATTGCTTCAATTTTCATAATTCTCTTGTGTCTCCTGTGTAGAGATATTAGCGTTTTCTTCTTATTTTTACTAATACTCTGGCTTTCTTCGTCTCGTCTTCTTTTCCTTGCGCTGTTCGCTTGAGTCGTCGTTTCTGAGACGTCACACTTTGCGTTAATGTTAGATATTTCGCAAAATGTATTCATGGCTAGCTCACTACAATTACCTTGATCCAATTCCCTTAGTAAAACTGGAAGTATCTGTGTCTTAACCTGAAAATAATTAAAAAAATCAAAATATGGTCATATATAGCGATACTTTGTTCATTCGTCGATTTAAACCTTCGTCTAAAGCCTTCAGACAAGTAAATCCTAGATTCATTAAAAAATCTCGAAACGGAATAGTTCCCTCTTTACAAAACAATTGAAAATTTATAATTTACATCTTTTGCTCAGTTAGAAGACTATTTCGTTATTTAATCTTGAACTGAAAAATGAACTGTACTCACTTGTTCTAACCGAGATTTTATTCCGGTTTAAACAACCTAAAATTTCACTAAACAAAATACACATTACCTCGTATATAAGAAGTCCACACTACCCTCTAGTCATCCAACCTTGGAAAGAAAGGCTGGGTGGCCTTTTAATTTTGATCCGAGAAAATGGAAATTAGCTCCTGGAAATGGAACCCGGGCTTGTATGAGAATATGAATTGACCACTTAAGCCATCTAAACGGATGTTTACATGCGTAATCTGAACAAAATATTCCTTCCTTACTGAGTAAATGGAGCTGGTTTTAACTTTTCCGGTTGCGCAAAGTTGTGAAAATTCGTGCGGCTTGAAGGATAGAAGACGGATTCCTTCTCCCTTGGAAGATCTTCTAATCGCCGTAATTTCACGGCGCCCTTATAACAGCGACTCGTGATTTCGAACTTGATCTTTTTAGCCCATTTTCCAACTCATGTGAAAGGTGCTATTAAGGTCACTTTCTGCGTCCGTACGCCCGTCCGTGCGTCCGTCATATGCTTTAACTACTTCTACAGTTTTCAAGATATTTAGTTCGCTCTTTTTCGGTAGCTTATAGCTCTGGAAAAATCTTGACGATTATTTTCACATGCACAAACTGCGCAAAGTCAACTTTTTTATTCGTAGAGATATTTTTTTGAAATTTTAAACATCAGGCGTGCGCATGAACCAAAGCATGAACCGACTACGTAATACTAAGTCTCTTATTTTGACGAATATTTAGGCCTTAAGTTTTTTTCTTTTTAGACATAAATAGTCCATTATATGACCTTTTGGGAATTTTTCGTATCATAAAAATTAATCTCTCGATTTTCGTTTAAATCCACGAATTCAAGTGTCATAAATGAAATTCCAGACCTTATAATATCGCAGATTCGTTGTTTCTCATTCCCCAAAGCGACTATGTAGCGCAGTGGTAGAGCGTTGATCTACATGGCCCGAGGATCGCGTTTTCGAACATGGGCTGGGGCAAGAATTTTTCATCTATGACAGAGACAGGGAATTTTTTTAGATTAGTTTCGAGCATTCTGACGACTACTTCGAATTAGGTTTTCTTGCGGTTTTGCTAATTGGTAGGGTAAATACCCGAGTAGTATACTCGTAGAACAACTTAAGACCTTCTGCAGGGGCACCCCTAAAAAGCATTATGCAGGTTACTCTGTAATTGGGCGAGCTTACGGACCTTTAAAAATGTAGAATTATTACCTTTTTTCAATACCCACCTTTCAATTTGAACACCCTGTATATTCTCCCTCTGCTCAATACCTATAATTGCGAAACCCTAACAAAGTTCAACATCATTAAAAAGCTCCCGTTACAATATCATTTACATTCTGTGGATATTGATGTATTTTATTAACAAGCGACAAAAACCGAGTTTATGATTTTGGAGTTTCTGTCCGTCCGTTCGTCCGTCCGTCTGTGTACCTAAGTAAACGCTTTGACATATAAGGCTCACATTTGGTACAAAGATAGACTTATGGAAGAATAGATTAGAATTTCAGCCTCTAGGGTCCCCCAGTTGTGACAGTGTTATAGAATTACGCGGGTTTATGTGTAAATAAAGACGGAAATACTAATTCATTCATTCCAACAGCTATAATGATTGAATGTATATTGCCATACGTGTACCATATTTGGGATCTTTGTAGTCAGCGTGACTTTGCTGATTGAAAGGAGTATATTGACTCGTTTTTCAATACTTATATAATTTCTAATTTCACGTTTAAATAAATTCGTTACAGTTTATCAATATCAAAGATCACACAAGTGGAAGGTAATGGTAAAAAATGGTCTGAATGAATGCAGCAAGTTAGAAATTACTTTCCTTTTCTAATAACCTGTAATATGTAGGTACAAAGGGCATGATTACAGCAATATGAAAATCTATATTCATCGCAGACTATACCTACTACTGCTCTTCTCAGATGGAAACCCTTTCGCATTAAGAGGCAATCTAATCTCCACGCGCCTGTATGTGCTTTTCAAATTAACAGATATATTATACTGGGTGGCTAATTATCCAAAGCGCTGTTGTCAAGACGATTTGAGATAAATCGTCTTGAAACTTTCAGAACTAATAGCATCTTGTGCATCGAGCATGTAAATTGTTTGTCCTTTTTTCTGTTGTTCTGTTTTTTACTGTTATATGTCTGTTAAATGTTTAAAATGAAAATTGAATAAATAATAAATGTGATACCCTTTTCATAATTCTACGTGAAGTTTTATTGTTTCAAAAAAGTGCCACCGTAATTTTAAACTTTCGAGCAGCTGCTTAAATTCAGAGAGGGTGTTAGAGGATTTGAATTGGAAAATTAAGAATAAAACTCTCGGATTTTTCCGAATAGTTGCATAAGAAATAAATTTATTCCATACTTAACACCACCTATACTTATGCCATTTCCTTCCTAGATGCTTATAAATTCGTTCAGAGTAAATGCATTTTTTTGCAAATATCACCAAAATACTCGAGTAAGCTAAGCACAAAATTCACACATGGGAAATTGGAAGCATTTCGTTTCCTCCATATTTTACCAACAGTTATTTAACTAAAGAGTCAATAACTTAATAATAAGACTTCAACGTTACGGAACATTGCGCGAATGTTACTTACTATAGTAATTATACGTATCACTCTACAATAGAAATCCCTAATTATAATAACTCGTTCTAATTATTAAGAATACTAAAGTGTCTGATAATTTAAGAGATCAAAAACAATGTTATTCGAAGCGTATTTAATTTATACTTATGTTTACTGTACCAACACGCGAAAGTAGATTCGCTGCAAGAATCCAACGTGCTGATAACTCGGCAAGAAATGATAGAAGTAGGATGTGAAAGGAATAAATCGAATCCAATTGAAACTAACCTTGAATTAAATTACTCTAGTAAACGTAATGTCAAGAACAGTAATTACGCAATTAATTTGTTTCAGAGTCTCGGAAAAAGAAGTTGAGGAAGTGGTTTATGCCGCTGTTGCTGTTGTTGAAATTAAAGGGGCTCGTGATCATTCCAGCTGTCCTTTTTGTGATCGCCCTTGTGGCGTTTAAAGGAATGGGGGCTGGTCTCATGGCCCTTTTAATTTCTGGTGCCGTTGCACTGAAACAGCTCCTGGATACCAGGCACAGCAGCTCGTCGGTTAGTTACGAAATTCTACCCCAAATCGCTGGCCCGCATTGGAGTCGCAGTGATGCATTGAATACCCTACTTCAGTCTTACCAATAATTAAAATGTTACGTAATTTGTGTATAAAACTCAGAATAAATATTTATTTACGACGTGTTTAAAACGACAAATTAGGGGCAGGAGAAAGTAATTTACATTTATAGTTCGCTTTGCGTTTGTTTTTTAAGATAACTGAATGATGGTACCGAGGATGGTACGTTTAATGGTTGACTAACCAAAATAAAACATCATAAATTGATCAATCGAGCACTTCTCTTTTTTTTTGTAATTCGACCTGAAAGTCGCATATTTGCGTACATCTCTTCCAAAAACGTAAGTTTGAAATGTGGGGCAATTGATACAAGCATCCATAAAATAGAGCAATAATTTCACCTTACTTTCGCATTTCTTTTTTTTTTTCGTTAACGACTACTCAATGCTCATTATACGGTAGCAAGGTTTGATGCACAATTAGAAAACGTTCACTCGCCTAGATGATTATTTGGTCATCAAACTTCCTTTCCTACATTGCAAATAATGTAACAGTTATTAAAAATAAAGAAAAACATCTCGGTGATAGTAGTCCACTGTAGAACTGCTGTCCTGCATATTCACTGAAATTAACGCCCTAGCAAACAGTCACTTAATGCTTACATTTACTTCTTGCTCCACTAAATACATTAGACGATTCATTTGGAAAAAGGGGAGAACATTTCGTATTTTTACTCCAGTTACTTGACTATATATACAACAGTTTCGTAGTAATCTTCAGTTTATTACCTTATTGGTTGTCGATTTAGAAACAAGAGACGATGCGCGCTCGTATCCAGTATGTGTTGTTATTTACGTTAGTGGTACTTAATTACGTAACGGCCGATAATGCAACACCTACACCTGACCGAAGTGAATTTAAAAAGTCGTTATCGAGAGACTGTTCAAACGCCTATACGACCACCTGCCTGAAATTGGATATTGTTTCGTGGGTTGATAAGCTAAATGAAGATGACGATTACAGTGTCTTTCCGGGTATCAGTGTAGTACGTGAAAATGGAAGTGCACGCGCAAATACAGCCGATATCGTCGCGGAACTGGCGAGGGAGTTTCCAAATGACGCCGAGGCAAGATTAGATGCATACCTTCTTAGAAAAGTATCCAATTATCTGAACAGTCATTCCTTGAGGCTGAAACTGTTTGATAGCGACGCGGTATCTACTGCTCGTGGTAAGGGTGGATCTTTCGGGGGCGGCGGCGGCGGCGGCAAGAAGGGCGGTGGTGGCATGGGAATGCTTCTGGCAGCTGCAGCTATGATGAAGGGTACTTTAGGAGCACTAGCTCTCGGTGGCGTCGCCGCCCTTGCCGGTAAAGCTTTGATGACAGGCCTAATTGCACTTATGCTTGCTGGCATCGTTGGATTAAAGTCCCTGACCAGTGGAGGAGGGAAGACTACGTACGAGATAGTATCAAAACCAATTTACAGTCATTCTAACACGCATTCCGTGTCCCACGAAGAGCATGGTGGTCACGGACATGGTGGATATTCGTCGTATGGACGAAGCTTCGACATGCCTCTACCTTTGGGCCTACAACCCCATTACCAACCTTAAAATAGTTGAAACCAAAAATTATTTATTAATTAGTTTCCGACTTAAGTATTTATTAAATTAAATAAAACGATTTTATCTTGTTTTCTCAGATATTGTGTATTTTTTTCAGGGAAAAAATTGTCCAGGTTCTTCGTGATTTTTGTTAATGCTGGACTACACAAATGTTACCTTACCCAGAAATACATGTGTATCTAATTGAAGTACTTCTGTCATATCGTTTTATAACAAGAGACTACATTTAGTTATAATAAACGACAGATAATTCAATTCACAAATCTTAAAAACTAACTTAGTTTTGCGCAGTTTACCGAATACGTGATATAACAATTTTATGTATAATCAACTTTAACAGTGCATGACCACTGGTCCAAGCCAAAAAAAAACAGTTTTTGAAACGGCACGCGTCCAAATTTTCTGCCACTTAATACTAAATGTAATCTCCTGTCGTACAGAGACTTTAATGTAGATAGTAATGTCCGTAAATTTCCTCCAATTACTTAATTTGGCAATAAAAAAATGCTGTTAATTTTAGGTGCTTTCTGTCTAGTTGATGCGGCTAGGGACTACAACTACCCGTTGATAGTTTAACCGCGTGTGTAAAAAGATAATTCACGAAAAAGAGAATATTCTATAATCGATCAATTTTATTTTATTGACAAACTTCTATTCATTTCAAATCTGTTACATACATACTTGATTACTATAAATGCATCTTTCTTCATACTCCCACCAAAATTACTAAAAGGTAATTTTTAAAAACATTACCAAATTAAGAAATCTAATCTAATTCTCATAATTTAACCTATCTGGTTTTCTAATAACTCGACCAGCTTTCGATAATACCTTCGTGACGTTTTCAGGTTTTGCAACTCTACAATACCATCGGCGACCACGAATATTTCTGTTATTCGACCGATAGGCCACGCACCGCTTTTTTATTATCCGACCAACAGGACAACGTCACCACCTTCAAACGTGATATCATTGTGTCTACGCTCTTATCAAATTAACATTCAATATATCCTTTTTCGAAAACGATGACGAAGATCATTCATAGTCGTTGACGCAACCTGTTCTTTTTCTGGCCCTTTGTTATTCCGCAATATCAATATCCTGGCACTCCAACTTCCATACGAACTCCCTGTAGAAACAAGAGGGCGTCCATCGGAGTAAGTCATCATTTTCAAATACTAAGTTACAGGGTCTTCCATTATAACACCTTGAACATCACAAAGGAAGTAACCAGTTCTTCATAATTCAAAATCGAACGAAACCAAGTACACGTACAAGCATTCTTCCCCTTGGTCCTCACTAAACGCACAACCAACACCGAACCAAGGAGCAGAAGGAGGAATTCAGTATCCTTTAATCTTTGAACAGATGTTTCCTTTTCATCCTACCCCACTCAAGTCCAGCAAGAAGTCTATTAGCTCCAACGAAAGTGGTTCGCTTGTCGTATAAATCACAGATGTCGAACCATTTCTTGCGACAAATTTTCTTAACTCATTAAGAATGCTTTTCATGTGGTTAGATTTGTCACCAATCTAAGTGTACTGCCGATAAAACAGCACACGTATATAGAGCTACCCAAACTTACTGGCGTTTTTAGATACTAGGACCAGCGTAGTCATCCTATGATTTTCAAAGGGATGAGCATCTCTAACATCGATTCTCTGGAATGGTGCCATGATTGGATCTGGCGCCTTTTTCCCTCGAAAACGTCTACATCTTCACGCAATTGCGAATCACATGTTGTATTGGCTTTTCTACCTTTTAAAGATCCAAACTTCTCCTAGTGGGACACGAGTATTGAACTCCTGCGTGACACCTTATCTAAATGTTCCTCATGAATAAGTGCATCACAACCGATGTATTGAAGGAAGCAGAATAGATCGAACAAAATAATCAGAATCCTTCCTCAGTTGTTATCCGTGTTTTAAACCTCTAATAGACGCCACTAGTATTTTCCTCCACATTAAACGGAAATCTTTATTTTTATCTGTAACACTTCTTTCTGAACCATAAACATAATTTCTGCTCTGCAACCTAAGTTCCTTCACTGTGAAGAACTATTGAATAAAGTTATTATGCGCGTAGGCAGACGACATATAAACCGCAATCACCATAACCCATAACTATTACAAGTTTATTATAACTTGAAAACTTACACTTCGTAGGAAAATACAGGATCTCATCCTTCATCACCGCATTAAACGCGTAACATCCTCTTCCTCTCTTGTTGAATCTTCATCTTCATTTTCGACATATTTATTGATGGGCCATTGTTCAACATCTTTAAGCCAAGCTGGTCCCTCCCACCCTTTTGATCCAATAATGACGAGCCATCACATCGCCCACGAGAAGGCAAATCCGCAGGATTCAAGGACCCAGGAGCAATGTAGCCATTCCTCTGGTTCAGTGTTGAAAGGATCTTTTTTCAACCTATTATCCTAGCAAGGTTCCCAATTATCGTTACGTTTTATCCAAGACAATGCGTCGTAGAATCTGGTCCAGACGTAAAACGATTAACATCAATCCAACTTTATGAATTTTCCTAACAGTCTGACACCAGTCTTACTACCATTTCGAAGAAATCAATTCCAACCTATTAATGGTTTATATCCTTTTAAAAGGAGCAACTCTGGATTTGGCCATCAATAACGCTGTACCATTCCTGTACCGGTTGATTTTCACTTCGAGAAACTGTGGCAGCATATCACTTTTACTTGCGTCACAAAATGTAAATGAGAGTCAACATTTGTTTGTTGCCTCTGCAAGCCAACGAGAATTTCCTAATAAATTGAGTAACGCAATATCATCGTTCATTTAAGGAATTTCTCGACACTTCGATGACACAGATTCATCCACCAGTTTTGAACTATTTCCAGGTTTCTGAAGTAGTAACTTTGGTACTCTAACGTCACAGGAGCTAATATTCAAGCGGATCAAAATATTTTAGCTAACTTCAAGACCAAAATAATTCTTTAGTGGTAGCCTTTTCACTCCTTTAACGTTCAAACATGAAAGGTGTCAGACCTTCGATTCCACTTTCATTCCAATACGTTATGTAATACTAGCTGTTCGAGAAAATCATCACGTTACTTTTCCCACATTCGAAGACAAAATTTTCGCTTCTGCATTAATAGCGTTGACTCGTTCTTGATTTCAATGTATTCTTTCGACGTTATCAAAACATGCAACTACTATTATAAATATAACGTTTGTTTTAATAACCTTATCCGCTGTTGACCTAAGATGCTGATCAACTCTTTCCAAATGGTATTCAATAACTGCAGATAAAAGGCAATGGACTACAGTTAACGACCTAAACACGAACGCTATGTCCGATAAATTTTCATATCTGAACATGTAGATCTCCCCCCAGAGAAACCGTAGGCGTTCGAAACATCTTCCTTAACTCAATCCCATCAAAAATGCTTTTTCACTCTCAGCTTGTTGCAGCGACTGACTTTTTCTAAAGCGTAAGGGAGGTCAGGAATAATTCGAGCAGATTGGGGCCCCTTAGCTAAACATTGATTAAGACTTGGCGCGCCACCTCCACTACAAACAATGACGCGTCAAATACCGGTTCGCAGCTTTGTGTGCTCTGTTTGGGTTTGTAACAAGGTCGGTGGTGGTAAATAATGACAACTTACACATTCACCTTTTTACTTTCTCTATTCATCAAGGTTTAACCATTGTTTTAAATACGCTGTTCGTGTCCATGGTATTCCGTCTGCTTTCAAACTTTTGTGTCGCATTTTCTAACCTTCTCTCGATCGTTCACTATCCCTTGATAGGTCTGCCGAAAATGTTCCCGCACTTGGTCATCCGCTTCGGCCTTGTTAGCTTTTCAAACAAGGGATCGTCAATACCATTTTCTATAATCCCACAAATTTGTACTTGTGGATGACAATTTGGCATTACGTAACTATCATACTAGTAGAAGACCATCTCACCACAAGTTTTTACTTTCCACAACAGTCCACCCTAATAGTGGTTCATGCATTAACGCGCTTTCCTAATTGATGCAACTTTCCAAGTCAGCAACTTCCCATAAATATCACTCCAATCAAACTTGATTTTATACTTCCGGGCTACCCTGACGTCGTCACTACAATCCAGTTCATGTAGCCCTCTTGTGTCCATTGGGCTTTTAATAGTTTAGGAATTCCCACCCACAAATGTTGTCTCATCGTAGACAGTCAAAATGACATTTGAATTTGGAAGACAACTTTCCAAGTAAGTTTAATACTTTTTGTGCGTTTTAGAAACTGTAAAGATGCAACCTCCAAACAAATATGGAAAACGTTATTTGCAATTTTACTACCCTATTCCTAGACGCCACACTTTTCCAGAATATATGAGAATTGCGCCCGCAGGGTCGATAAATTGCACGCACTTCCTTAGATTATTTTTTCCACTAGGCACTTCACACGAATGTTTGTAAGAATTACATCCCACACTCATCACACGACTCCCATACCGTAGACAAATTTCTAAAATCCTTATCAACCTTCCCTGCACTTTCTACCTCTGTGTGCTATCACTCTTCTGGAGATCAGGACATAAATTACATAATGTTCTCTTACTCAATACATACACTTCACTCGATATTACAAGATTTTTTGATCTATGACAAATCGTCAGGCAAGTAAAACAACGGTTTTGTCCTCTTTAAGCTTCTGTTTTCTGTCTTCTAGTGACACCCTTGTGCGATGAAACAATCTTGAGTATCGTGACTCTTTTTCACAAAATCCACAAGCTTTTTAACCATTTCCAAGAGTGTCGTTCCATTGCCGTAGGATTTTCTCAACTTTTTCCTGGATACATTTTTACTTTATTCGAAGGATTTGAAAGCCAACCAAAACCTTCTTGAGCAGGAATTCGTTTTTCACCTTCAACGTAAGAACTGCATAATTTAATTCAACTTATTGTGGTTTTGTCAGCATCCTTCCACTCCGCACTTCTTTGCCATGCTTGTAATATAATAGCGGGCAGACAGGAAAATCCACCATCGGATCAACATTGCGTCATATTTGTCTGAAGTTACTTTTAAACGACTCCCATGCACGCAAAATGACCACCAACTGGGACATAAAGTTTGAACAAAATCATCCTGTTTTTTTCCAGTTTTGACTGACATTGTGAATAATTAATTTTAGCATTTCACGGCACACACCTTCAACCAAGAATTCTTCTCTCCCAAACCTCTCTTTCAACGCTTTTACGCATTGGGAAATAATTCTCTGCAAGTCTGCAGGAAGCTACACACCAATCCATGGGCACGGGACCCATCTACCATCAATTG